TTCAGAAGTTTGATGATTAAATCATCAAGTGTCACATTAATTGCAGCTAAAATGGTACAGGTTCTCAGCCAGTTATGGTTTGTAAACGGATTCCACAGCTTAGGAAACACCCTAGTCATTAGTTCCTTCAAGTCAGATAACATATGTCCAAAAGGTGAACTGATTCAGCCATCCTGTTCGCCAACCAAAGTGCCATTACCAACCCTCGATAATTGCTTAGAAAAAGTACAATCTTCTTAATCACCACTGATCTGCACTGTCATATTTGTTGAGAGTTTCAGCTTTTTCACACTGTTCTACAGGTAGGAAGACTATACTGGCATTTAACTCGTCAGCTTTTGTCCCTTTCGTAATCAATGTAAATGTTTGTCATCTCCTCTTGCAAATTCAGCGCTCAGAAATAATCGTGCTATAAACATCCAGATTGTCCTTCAAATTGAGGCGCTGGCTATCTATCTATCTCCTCTCCCTCCCTTCCTCCCTCCCCCCCCTCTCTCTCTCTCTCTATATATATATATATATATATATATATATATATATATATATACATATAGTCTGTTTCATGCTATATGCAATCGTCAGGCCACCTGACGATTATAACAGACTTTTCATGCTATATACACACGCTCTATCTCTGATATTGAGCACTTTATTCCATAAATATAGCACACCTTAAGACTATATTTCTTTATATATATATATATATATATATATATATATATATATATATATATATATATATAAAAGTGAAACATAGAATTCTGTTTCTTAGCGACAGTCTGTTTCATTCTAAGTATGCAATCGTCAGGCCATTTATTCACGCTCTATCTCTGATATTGAGCACTTTATTCCATAAATATAGCACACCTTAAGACTATATTTCTTTATATATATATATATATATATATATATATATATATATATATATATATTTGTGTATATTTACCTCTACTCTGCATTGATTCCACTTTATTTAAACGTTTCGGAGTGTGGAATTATAATCAGTTTACGTGGATATTTTGCTTTAACTTTTTAGAATAACAATTATCTTCCATATATAATTACAGCTATTTAACCCATAGCTTTGAGAAAAGAGAATGATGATGCCGACTAGGATTCAAACTTTGTTTTATTGAGCCCGACAAAAAAGTAAGAAAGAATGTAAATTAATGTCTGGAAGTTTGAACATGTGAAAAATGAAATAACTGAAGAAGAAATAGTGTATGACGGAATAAGATTGAAGATGGAAAAAAAATGAAGAAAAAGTAAGAAAATGAGTGAATGAGAAATGATAGAGATGAAAGAGTGACAAAAGTTTAAAAAAGGAGGAATAAATATTATATGAAATTGGGCATGCGCAAAAGATCGGGACGTATGAAATGAAAAAAAGAATTTGAGACGAAAAACGAAAAGGTCTCCTTGTATATTTAAGTTGATAAAAAAGAAAAAATGATTAAAATGAAGGGAGAAGTAAAGTAAGTATGAAAGATGAAAAAAATTATATAAAGACATCAAATGATGGAATATGAAATTCATGGTAAATTATAGTAAGAAAATGAAGACAAAAGCAAAAAAAAGCGGGATTGAAAAAATAAAAATATAAAACAATTTAAAAACGATTAGATTAGAAGGCAAGCACATTAGAAAAGAAAGCTAGATAGAAAGAATAAGAACAAATAATATAATCATGAATACAAAACAAAACGATAGAAAGAGGAACATAGAATATAATGATCAAATAAAAAAATAGAAAAAGAGATAGAAAGGAAATTAACAAAGAATATAATCAAAAGAAAATGAGAGAAATAGAAAGAAGATGAACAAAGTATGTAATGATCAAGAAAAAGAAAAAGAGAAAAAAAAGAAAAGATGAACGAAGTATATAATAATTAATAAAAAGAAAAAAAGAAAAATCTTTGGAATTAAAGTATTAATATAATAAGAAATAAATTAAGTTACCAATGGGAAAGGAAACGAACGAGTATTCAAAGAAATGAACATGAGTAAAAAGTAGAAAAAGAATCTCCGTTTACATTAGTCTAAAAAGAAAAAAAAATAACCTACAAATAACAGGTAAGCTTATATAAAAAACACGGAAATATTATTGAGAAAAACAGAAAAAAAAATGATTCAAGAAGAAGCGACACTGGGTGAATTCAAACGAATAGACTTTGCGGAAATGTCATTAGAGAGAAATATTTTCTTCGAATTTTCCAAAGGATATACCGATTAAATATTCGTAATTTTCTGCTCGGTCTGTGAAAAATACATGAATATTTTACACATGTTGCCTGAGGAGCAATCAGGGAAATTACAATTTTAGCGAAGTGCATATTGAAATTTTAAAACCTCGACATACTCTAGAATAAATGTGATTTGAGTTTGATTTTTTTTAACATGCTTTACGAATGTTTAATGCGTGTAATGATTCCTCTTTGCAAGACGCGACAAGCAAGTGTTAACAGCAAACATCGAGGTAAATATACTGTAAAGAAAATGGCGGATAAGATGGAGGAGTAGGATGAATAGAGATAGGTGCAAATGAAAGTAAACGTGGAGGGAATCGGAGAAAGGTTGGTAACCAGGACAGATCATGTGTGAAGGTATGAGGAGAGGATGAAGTGTAAAAGGCAGAAAAGTGAGAGAATGAAAATTATTTGAAAACAATGGAAGCAAAAAAAAAGAAGGATTGATCAAAATGGAGTAACAAGGCGATAGAAAAACAAGTGGTATAAACATACGACATAAAAAGAAAAAAGGAAAACAGCATATATTCATCTTTCTCTCTCTCTCTCTCTCTATCTCTCATATATATATATATATATATATATATATATATATATATATATATATATATATATATATATATATATATATGCATTGGCTGCGAATCTCACCACGTTTTTTTTTTGTCAGGAAATAGACTTCCTGATGTTATCGGGCTGGAGGAGGACGATCCTAGCCCGCGTTGGAAAGTGCCTGAAAACCATACAAAGTGTTGACCCAAGATTTGTGAGTGAAACTGTGTAGACGAAATCTTTGAAGGCCTTCAATAGCTGAATTAGTCACAAGTCATCGTGACTGAGGGTTTGAGTGTGCTGGCCTTGTTCAGACTGTTGGTCACGCTAGATAAGGTAAGATGCTCTCTCTCAGAAACTGTGACTAAGGTCTACTCAGCATAGTTGCAGTATAAACCATAGGTTGTGTCTGTGGGTGTTGGACAACACAAATGTGCCTGAGCAAGCGAGATTACTATGGCCTAGCATATGCGCTGATTCCTTAAATTTTCTTATTTTCCGCAGTGAATATGATCGTAATGATGTGGGCAACAGTTCGAACAATGTAAATAGATCAATACTTCATCTCAGACACACACACACACACACACACACACACACACACAACACACACACACACACACACACACACACACACACACACATATATATATATATATATATATATATATATATATATATGCAGACCAAGTTTCGATTGTGCTTTAAAACGTTGCTAATTGTATAGAAATGTATAGACCTCCACTTGTTCTGAATTCAACATTGACTCCTTCATTTAAGTCAGAGAATTCTTTTTCAAACATAGCAGAAAAGAAAAGTGCAAAGAAAAGAGGAGCAAGAAAGCAACATTGCTTTGCACCGTTGGAGACGAAAAAAGCGTTCGATTGCTCACTTCCTGACCTTACAAAAGCTTTCATTCCTTTGTCAAAGGAGATAATATGGAGCATTTAATCTGGAACAAATAATTTTGACAAAACTTTCCAAAGAGCAGTTTGAGACACATTATCGAAAGCCTTTGTGAAGTCTACAAAAACAATAAATAGATCCTTGTTTTGTTTTCGTGCCTTCGCCTGAGTCTGCCGGAGACAAAAGATCATAGACACGGTTCCTCTACCGGATCGAAAGCTGCACTGGATCTCTGGTAATGCTGATTCTGAGACAAATTCATTAAGCCTATTCAGGATGATACGAGCAAGGATTTTGTCAACAAGCGAAAAAAGAGATATTCCTCTATATTTGACACAATCACACCTCTTCGCTTATACAAATGGACAATTGAAGCATTCTCATACTGCTGTGGCAGTTCTCTCTTTTCCCACACAAGGTTGAAAAATTCACAAATGTTACGCGTCAAAAGATTGCTGCAAAAGAAATTTGCATACCAGTTTCGTAATAATTGGTCAGGTATTACTCCTTGACCAAAAATACTTTAACGTTACTACCTTATTTGAACACCCATAACTTTATCTGAAGGAAATGTACTTTCTATCCCTCTATGAGTGAGAGAAAGAAATGTATTTTTTCTAATCCACTGTGTACTTTGAAACAATCGTCAAAAATCTAAGCTATGTTAGTGTACTCTAAATTTATTCTTAACTACCACGTATTATTTGCAGTTAGCAAGACACTTTCTTCATTTGTTCCCCAAAATTTCAACATCGGAATCAACTCTCTCTCTCTCTCTCTCTCTCTCTCTATATATATATATATATATATATATATATATATATATATATATATATATATATATGTGTGTGTGTGTGTGTATATATATATATATATCTCTCTCTCTCTCTCTCTCTATATATATATATATATATATATATATATATATATATATATATATGAGATACACAGAGAGAAACAGAGAGACGTAGGAATATTAACAAGCCCATAGCATAATCATCGTAATGTATATATGTCTTTTTATTGACTGTTTTCTTTTTATGGTTTATCAACAATTTGCAGGTTATTTAAACCCAGAGAATATTTTTATATTGTAAGAACGTTTTATAGATAATTATGAATTACTGTTAATAGACCTACTACTTAATCCATAGCTGGGGTAATAAGTGGATTCATCCCTTTTCAAAGGGTATTAAGGTATTTACGCATCATATAACCAAACCGACGGAGATTGGAACGCTGATCTCCGATTTACAATTCAGAACTCTTACGCATTACACCCCACGCACATCCAAGCATACAGCGTCTGTAATTCCCAAGCGATCACCCATCTAGTTATGACCAGGCTCAGCGTTGCCTAACTTCGGTGATCGTACGAGAAATGGTGTTTCAACGTGATATGGCCGAAAGCCTGTGTCTATGTGTCGACATAACTGCCAAGTGTGATTAGTAGTTAGGACGATACATTCGTTATTTCAACTGGATGTCCAAAACGGAAAATATTTATGACTCAATCTAAGAAGAGAGAATGTGGATTCTTAGCGTTGTCTTTGAGTTCGGGTAGCGAACTTGTTATTACTTGGATATTATACCTCAGCCACGAGGCACGTCATTTTTTAATAAGATTGAATTAATCTGATACAAAGCTGCAATTACGTGTACTCTGTTAGGATAAAACCAGATGATGCAGTAAAATTCTTTGCGGCTAGTTTTGTAATCAATATCCCGGATAATAATAAAGTACGTCAGTGAAAATATATTTAATAAGATTCAATATGGGTCCTAGATGTACGAACGTTAGCTTTTTGCTTTTCGCTAAAGCATTAAAAGTGAGCTGTTTATGACCGAAATTTGAATTGAATGATGTTGCTACGATTTGAGAAATGTTTTTCGTTTTGCTGAATTCTCATCGCCGTGTTTGACCAGCAAGTATTTTCTTTTAATTCACATGTTGTTGCTTTGTACACATGACTGTTACTTTTTTCCTTCATTTCATTGCCTCTGTCAGAAAACCCCGCGAAAACCTGATACCACTTCTCCCTAATGATGAATAAGGCATTTGAGATTCCTTGCTTCCCTTCATGAAAAATGCATGTCGGCGTTGTGACAGAATAAAAAGCAAATAAATAGATGAAAACAAAACGGTAAATTATTGGCTGTACACAGCTGTAAGAAAGTTCTCCCTATTTGACATGCGTTAAAGGGCTTTTTGCTCTCAAAGAAAAACATATAAGAATTTCTCGCTCTCCAAAAGCGACGATCGAGTTAAAACAATAAACTCTTAACATTGAACGAACACAAAATGTTATTTGCACCCGTTTTCTGATCATAATTCGAAATTCGTTTCTTCCCGCGTTTGATGTTCGGCTAATATGCTTTGATGGCGTTAGAGTTGTTTAATAAAAATGCCTAATATTATTAAATGAAATTTCCCACTCACTGTATTCGAATTACCGTAATGATCGCGTCCTACATAATAGGATCGATCTGTCAGTTAGTTCTTGTTCGTCTGGAGCTGTGAATTTTAATGTTTGTTTTGTTTCCTGAATACCGTTCTAGTCATAAAAATAGTAGAGTAGGTTTCCTTTACTTTTCTTTTCGTTTAACACTAGCACATGATTCAAAATTGACACTATGCCAATTGACTGCATATCTTGAAACTAAGAACCATTTCTTTTGCATGAAAGAGTTTCATAATATATCTTAAATTAAGAATATGTATATCCGGTGAAATTTTGCATATCTGTGCGTTCGTTCCAGTAAGTGCGCCGCCATTCTTAATACAATGATTAGTGTGTTACATTGATTAACCATGAATTATAATTTCTTTCCTCACCCCCCTGCTCCATAAATATGACTTTGCCCGTGTTATGGCGCACCAAAAGCAGATCACTGGTTTCCATTTAATTTTGAAATACTATTAATTAAAACCTCGCTGCTGATTAGATTATGTGTAACTGGAATGTAGGCGAACGTTTAATCACACATTCGGCGCAATACTTAAATTATAAGGATATTGACAATAAATATTTTCAAATGAAGATATATTTATATTTTCTGTTGTTGCTTTGAATTGAATTATTCGGACTAGTATCCTAATATATGTTGTTTTGAACATTTTGCCCTGATTGTTTTTTTCATGCATATGGCGCCTTTTTTCAATGCATATGACGTTTATTTATGTACAATGCTTAAATCGTCTGCCAGTTCCTCAGTTAAATGAATTCAGCAATGCGAGAATTAAACATTTGTTTTGAAGATAAACTGAAAGTTTATAAAAGAGAAACAAGGAATACGCTTACTTCTTTTAGAGATTTCCGGCACAAATTATACACACCTTCCTGAAAATTCGTTACAGAATACTTTAGTAAAAAGTTAGCAGTTATGAATTTTAGAATCATCAGTCATGATTTTATTAAGATTTTAAACACGGACAATATAGCTTAATATGTCCGTAGCTTGACGTATGATTATTGTCTAAATTTTGATATGAAATTTGTACAATACAATGTTCTCTCTACGTGGTTGATATTAATTCAGTCAGTCAGTCAATTATGTGTCATGTGTGATACACACTTTCAGTAAATGACTAAAGAGGTAGATTTTTTTTCCGTAGTAGGTTGCCATTTCTTTCTAAGGTAGACCAGTTGCCATTAAGGCTATAGAACCCGGACTGTCCTGCTATTTACACATAGCTGAGGGCAGAAGAGGAGGATTCATGCTTTTCCCAAGTTACTGGAATATCGAATTCTGCTCTCCGAGTCCTCGCTCCAAGCCACTATCCATTACTCCACCGTGCCATTACTCCACCGTGATATTAATTACTGAATTAAATGGATAGACAACTACGAATTTTATGCTGAAAAATAACTATTCACCGTGTAGTTTTTATTTCGTTATTGGTTTTAATTAATGTGTCTGCGTACTAGTGTACACAAACTCATGCAGCAAGAACATTAATACTCTGATCAGAAATGTGACATTAGAAGCTATCAAAATAAAGTTATTATATTATATGGGATGATAATATTCTTATATTGTTATGAAATATGATTTTATCTTATAGGCGATATGGACAATAGAGTTAGATTCTACGGGGTATTACCCGACCAAGAAGGGATTTTTATAAAAATGATGTTTTCTCAAATTATGGCAACCGTGACAACATTCTCTCATAGAATAATACAAAGCTGTAGGTAATTCTTAATTTAGTGTTAAAATGTCTAGTTTATCGATAGTTTTTGGAAGTCTAAAATTGGCATATTCGTGCTGTTAAATGCTTCCAATCATTCCAACGGATATTTAAGCTTTCCCGATAGTAATGTGACGCAATCATAAAACAGTTAAGCAGAAATCTTTTAGTGTTGAGATTGCCGGAATCTGTTTATATTTAACTGCTTCAATATACGAAGGCAAGTCAAAAATTAACCGTTTGCTTTTGGCTCCCTGTCTTTATTTTGGTCACGTGGTTGAAGTTTGAGCTTCATCACGCCATTTTTCTTTCTGCTGCTACAGTAAAAATATGGCCGCTTCTCTAGCAGTGTGGAACAACGAGAAACACGTGGCGGTGATCGGATTTCTGTACTTGAAATATGTGTCAGGGGCTGTAATTCATCGGAGGCTTTTAACACTAGAAGACGACAGTGCCATACCGCGGGAGTAGATCGAGAAGTTTAAAAGTGGCCGGACAAGAGTGACGCACGAAGAAGGAACAGGACGCCGATGAATCTACACCAGTGACGAGAAGCTTCAGCAAGCTCGAGAGATGTTAATGGCGAACCGGCGAGTTATTATGGGCGAGGTAGCATGTTCTCTGCTCTTTGTTCCTACTTTGTGAAAACTGCTTACGAAGTGGCTATGTATACGCTGTAACAACAGCAAGAAAACCGAAGAGTTCAAGATAAATCTTCAATCACATGACTACAATAGTTCCAACCAAAATCACGCATGAGTATAAGGCAGTGCGTCAAACCAAATGTTATAGCGAAAGTGCGGATACTTTTTGATTACCCTCGTATTTTTAAATGCTATGTCTCTCCAGGTGATGAGGACCCTCTATAGATATCTTTCCTTTATTATCTAGCAATTCTTGGGAAAGTGGAGTGGTTTCCCATTGCCTTCTTCATGATTTGGAATTCAGTGTTTCCTTCTAAAGAGTCTAGTTTAACGTGCCATTTGACCCCTAGTTAACCTGGAGAAGAGATTGATTTACGCCTTTACCAAAAGCATTCATGAGAAAGTGAACGCAGGAATTTGAACTCGGATCGCCGATTCCGCTTTCTGTGTTGATATCCGCTACACCATCTGCACACCAGCTTCTATATTACGTATCTTTTATTGTGTTATACGAGTGAGTAATGAAACAGTCTCGACTTGGTGTAGCCACCCTTCCCAGAAAATATTGTCATGTTATCTGAAATAGATCTTGCCGAGAACTATTGCGTCGCGATTAATATTCTGACATTATTTCAAATCAATAAATAACGCACACTTAAATAGAAAACATGGCATTATAAAAAAAAAACATCAACCCTTCTTCTGTTCCATATGGATACTACACAAACTGTTTCAGGAAGTGGTATTTCTAATGTTTCATGTTTAATCAAACAGCTTTCTGAATACTTCTGTCAAGTAACGACAAAGTGTTTTTGTTTTCATCATAATTCTGTGAATTACAATCAGTTCTATATTTTCTGAAAATAAAATTAAATCTAATTTGTACGTTTGAATTTTTTAAACTTACACATTCTTTTTTAATACGATATTTCTAATTCGATTTTTTAAAGTAAAATCTTTTGTTTTTTTTTATTCATTTTTTAATATTATTAAAACCAGAAAGGAAGCCGAAGACAATATGTAAAAAGAAAATTTACGCCTAATTTATATATCTATAATATTTTTAATAGGGCGTTTGAAAAATCTACTTTAATATTGGTGCGAAAATTGACCTACAATACCAAAGGTGGTTTCAGTAAGATTTTAATGTTCTAATTAACATTCTCTTTTATTACACTTGAAAAGTTCTTAATATTTCACATTTGTGTTTTTTAACCTTACTCAGTCGACTGGCTATCATGAATAGTGTTGTATCCTACTACTGCACATGTGTATGAAGGGAGAAATTGCTTCGTTGAAAACTAACTGCATTTATTTATTTTGTGGTCAAATACCTTTACTAGTTGTTTTTCATGCAGAATATCTATACACTACCTCAGAAATGAGCAAGCGGGTGATAGACTCTTCAAGAACACGTTAAAAGAATGAGAATTATTTAACCTATGGAATTATACTAACCTTGCATAGTGTCATATAAAAATACTTCTAAACTCTTTGGTGATGCGTTCACAGGTAAGGCACTGCCATAATTAATTCCCGTGATTTAAATTCCTGTTCAGTACTCAGATAAAG